CAACCGACGACAGTATCTGTGGACATTCATCATTGCCGATGTTCCCACAGCCATACTTAGTATTGATTTCCTACAGCACTACGAATCGCTAGTCGATTCACGTATGCTGCAGCTAATCGATACTTCTTCGAACGTCAAAGTCATGGGCTTCGAATCTCCCACAAACGCGTACCGAATCCTAGGCACCTTTTATTCATGTGACGATAAATTCTACGCTTTATTCGAGAAATTCTCCAGAATAACTAAAGCACTCGAAGAGATTTCATCGGTTACCAATCATGTGGTACACCACATAGTCACCCGCGGACCACCAGTCACGGAAACACCACGCCGACTGGCACCGGACAAATTAGCCTTCGCTAAACGTGAGTTTGATAACTTACTATCTACTGGTATTATTCGTCCTTCTCATAGTCCCTGGGCCTCTCCTCTTCACATGGTGCGCAAAATGGGTGGAGTTAATTGGAGACCATGCGGCGTCTACCGAGCATTAAACGTAGTTACGCGCTTTGATAGCTACACCATACCCCACATACACGACATCACGGCATCGCTCAATGGCACCACTACATTTTCTAAGATCGATCTGGTACGAGCATATCACCAGATCCCAGTCGCTCTTGAAGATATCGAGAAAAATGCTATCACGACTCCTTTCGGTCTGTTTGAGTTCCTACGAATGCCATCTGGATTACGGAATGCTGCTCAAACTTTCCAAAGGTTTATCGATAGCATAGTATGAGACTTGGATTTTGTTCACGATTATATTGATGACATGCTAATCGCATTATCAAACGTAGATGAACATTATCAACCTTTTACACTATTATTCCAACGCCTCTCGGATAATGGAATAGTAGTCAACCCAGAGAAATGTGAATTGGGTAAACCAGAAATAATATTTTTGGGTCACATCATCAGACAAGAGGGTATTCTGCCTTGCGATGACAAAGTTCGAGCAATCAAAGAGTACAACGTGCCGTCCTCACTCAAGGACTGAAGGCTTTCCTCGGTTTGGCTAACTTCCGTCGACGTTTTATTCCACACGCGGCAGAACGGTTACGACCATTAACCAATTTACTACGCGGTAATCCACGCAAATTAGAATTGAACGATACCGCAGGTACTGCATTCTCAGAGATCAAAACGGCTCTCGCTGAAGTTACACTTCTCGCTCATCCTGACCCATCAGCCACGCTTAGTATAGCGGTTGATGCATCAGATTTCGCTAAAGGGGCCGTCATGCAACAGAATATCTCCGATAGTTGGCAACCGCTTGAATTTTTCTCACGACGTCTTACTCCCACGGAGACGAGATATAGCGCTTTTGGTCGCGAGCTGCTAGCAGCCTACTGCTACATCAAACATTTCCGGCACGCAGTAGAAGGGTGTCATTCCATCTTATTCACCGACCACGAGACGTTACGTATGCCCTGCATACCAAGTCTGACCGCTACTCACCACGAGAATGTAGGCATTTGGACTATATCTCCCAGTTCACGACAGACCTTCGTCACATTGAAGGCGAGTCGAACTATGTTGCCGATGCCCTATCACGTATGCAAGCGAATGCAGTTACCTTACCGGTGCTTGATCTTCCTGCTATTGCTGCGGCCCAAGCAAACGGTCCCTTTTGTACAGAAGCACAACAATCTGCATCCCTTCAGTGCCAGGAAGTACCCCTAGCTACTAGCTCAAGTGCTATTCTATGTGGTATTTCTACCGGTCTTCCTCGACCCATCGTACCCTCTACCTATCGCCGTCTCGTATTCGATGCCCTTCATGGATTGTCTCATCCAGGCATCGCAGCCACATTACGCCTCATCGCTGCACGATACGTCTGGCCGTCCATGAATAAAGATGTCCGTATGTGGGTAAAGCAATGCTTACAGTGTCAACGATCAAAAGTGCACAGGCACGTAGCTGCCCCCATTGGCACGTTCGCTACGCCTGATGCTCGCTTTGATCACGTTCATATAGACATTGTAGGACCATTGCCACCATCGAATGGGTATGATCACAAACTCACGTGCATCGACCGCTTTACAAGATGGCCCGAAGCTATTCCCATCACGTCTATCACGGCGGAGACAGTTGCTCACCGCTTCGTAGAACGATGGATAGCATTGTACGGTTGTCCCAAACTTTCACGACTGACCGAGGACAACAATTCGAGTCCTCATTATTCTCCTCACTGACCCGGCTGCTTGAAAGGAAAAGCATACGCACTACCGCCAAACACCCAGCATCAAATGGTTTAGTTGAACGGTTTCATCGCCAACTTGAAAGTGCTCTTCGAGCACACGAAAAAGAAAATTGGTACGAAAACTTTCTGCTCGTTCTCTAAGGTATCAGAACGAGTTTGAAGGCAGATATTCAATGTTTCGCCGCTGAACTTGTATACGGAAGGACATTACGTCTGCTTGGGGAATTCTTCACACCACGGAGCGGTAATGATTTCGGTAAATCAGACTACGTCCATCGACTGTCTGCATTTATGCAAACGTTGTCTCCGGTGTCAACTCGAATACAGCATTGACAGGTGGCTCTCCCTCGAGAGTTATCTACCAGTTCACACGTTTTCATACGAGTAGATTCGGTACGCAAACCTCTACAACAGCCTTACGAAGGCCCTTTACACGTGATCTCTCGTCACGAAAAGGCCTTCGAGGTTGATCGACATGGCCGCGTCGAGATCGTCAGCATTGATCGTCTCAAACCAGCACACATTGATGTTAGTTCACTACCCGATAACTTCAGACTCAAAGCTAGACCTATCAAACCTACTAGAGGGATCTCTACGTCTACCTCGGATCCCACGCTAGATACATCAGAGACCTCGTTCTCACGTCCCGGTCAATAGCACGAGTCATCTGCACCATCTACGAACGAGACCACCGTCTCGCGTTCCGTTCGCCGAGTACGCTTTCGCGACCAAACGCACAGTCAACAGCAGATACGGTGTAGGACTATTCCTATACTACGCGCATGCTACACTTTTCTTTTTTTGATTTCTTTTGCATCTTGAGCACACGCCTCCGACCATCGCCCGTTTGGTAACGTTGACTTCGGTCAACCTCGGCAAAAGCAGGTTTGGCCACCCATGCTCTAGTCAATGCACTCAGACGATATTCTGGTTTCGAATCCGTTTGGTTACGCGCTTGGTCGTTATGGTCGCTTCCGGTTTCTTGGCCCAACGTGGTTTCGTTCTACGTCTGCAGCGTTCTCTGATCCAAATCCCTATGAACGCAATATTCAGATCCTGGATACAAACCACTCTGGTGAGGTACGCTAATTCGAGCAACAAATACAGCACACTTCTCCTGGTACCGTTCTACGCAAAAGACCTTCGTTGGCAACTCGAGGATCCACGATCACTTCTTGTTTCGCCAATTCTTCCGTCCTACAACCGACCTTTTGCCGATCAGTCCCACAAACCGAACCGCTATCTATCGAAAATGTAAACCCTTTCTAGCGGGCGGTTCCTGTAGCGACCTACTTTTGTCAACAGAACGCGATTCGTTCAACGAAAACAATTATTATTATAACCAATTATACCAGTGATTGTTTTACTGTGCTCGTTTGTTTAACTGTGTTACTGACAGCCATATTGACCTTCCATTGGACCCCATCACTTTTCTACGCGGTTTGTGACTCTACGCACGTACTTTTTCCTGCCGATCCCACTTGTACTCCTTTGGCACGATCTCGGTATTCTTTCGATACCACGAGATCGCCAATGAATAAAAATGGTTACGAACTACTCTCGCCTTCTGATTTATTTGGTACGCGCTCAACTTGTAGTGGTGTTCGTAGTCAATCGTGACTCGATTCCACGCTACAACCCTTACACTACCTGATTCTCTCTATAACAACCCCTCTATCTCTTCGTACAGCGTGCTAACGCTAAGACTGTTTGACAAAGAATGTACAGAAGAAGACGTGAAGCGGTAGGAATGCATGAAAGTGTTACAGCAAGTAGTCAGCCAGAGACAGTTCACAACACAGTAAATAATTTAAGACGCATGAAAAGTAAGTATGATGTCACTCCACAGACGGCATATCACTTTGTAGATTTAGTTGCGTTTGCAGATCAGAAACCTTTAAATATTAAACGGATTCCAACTATCACTAAGAAGGTGGAAGTTGCACATACATTTAATCGTAAGTATGAAGATATTAGGTAACTATTAACATCATACCGTAGAAGAAACATAACAACCGGTGTTCTTTGATCTATAAAAAATGAGCATAATGACAATTAACTACACATTTACTCCCTGAACATTTCTCTCCCGCTTCATTATATGGCCAAAACAGCAAACACAATACACAATGATAGCAGATTTCCAGTTTTTCAATGTTAAGATTGTTTTCACGCAAGTCATAATGAATACAACACATCTAATACAACTATATGTAATGTTTTTAATAACAAACCTTCTGCAATAGATTGGTAGTATCTCTGACTACGTCTGCGGCTGTCAGGTGCCTGAGTACTTTCGAAAAATCTACTGATGTCCCCTACTGCTGGACAGCATAAGTCCGACTCGTTGATGGGATAGGGTTGTCATAATACTGGAGAAAACAACAAACCAGAGATCTTTTTGTTTCATTGCTCCCGATAACAGCATAAATGGAACGAATATGTTGACAGTTAGTGTCCTACGTGACAGCAACACTTTTTTAGCTAAAAACTTTGATTTTTAACATCTGAAATATAATACTCAAAACAAAATGAACTAGCGTTTTATAACATAAAACAAACTAGCTTGTCTGAAGGAGTACACGGACCTGAGTAGCTGCAGCAAAACCGAGATAACAAAGATGACTTAATGAAAATTTGCGGCAACACTTAGAGTATTACATTAACCGCACAATTTCAGAACACTGAAAAATTAACTTATGAGGCTACACAAAAGAAACAGCGGAAAAAACAGAACGAAGAGCACCGACCGTCACTACTTACAAATATGGCGGATATCATAATTTCCGCTTCATTCTGATTGGTCGCTAAGCAGATTACCACGATTACGAAATCGAGTTGCGTTTAATTGCCGCCGTAGATATTGGGTTTATTGTTGTCTGTGCTGATTAAAAAGGTATTGGATTGTTGGATGCATATCTTAAAATATAGGGATAAATTTTTCCGCCCGTTTATTTGTATGATTGCTTAGTAGTGACACGCCTAATCAAACATAATCCAAAAACGTCAATTCGATATATTTTATTGCACATCATGATGGCTGAGAATACTATCAACTTTACGCTACCTAAAACTATCAAATGAAGACTTCGCAACTGCAGATTTTACAATAACACGAAGTGGAAATGTATGTTTGTTATTATTATTCATTAGAGACATGTACATGTCGCGATGCACGTTTATCGCGATTTTCATCCTTCAGCAACATTGAAAAGGTTTTTTAGGTTTGTACGACATCACTTAAGTTTTCAACCATTGAATGAGAGAAAAGAGGTCGTAGGATGTAATATGATGTAAATAAAATTTTTCAGTGGTAACTTTCTGTTCTATATAGAAGTAATATTACTTCTTCTATGTTGTCAGTGTAGACAATAATTATTGTCCATTGAATTCCAAAATTCAATAACAATGACGATTTATATTTGGGTTTACTTTGATATGTTTGGGATTAATATGTGACAAGATACAGTGGTGCTTAGAGTAGCCAACAAAATTTTACCCAATCCCACACATGTGGAATTGAATGCCTTTCTTTTGATTTATTACACTGTAGTCATGATTCTCAAATAAACTGTAGGTACAGTTAGCCTTTTTGGTAGATCCGCTATGTGGACGACATATTCGTCATCGTTAAAAAGAACGAGCTGGAAAACACCTACAATCTGGTCAACGTCTTCGATGACACGAAGTTCACAATGGAAAAGGAATCAAACAACAAACTATCATCCTTGGGTGTATTAATCACCAGAGGGAGAAATGACAAAAGAAAAACTGAACAGCATCTACAAAATATATTGTGCCAACTGCGAAAAACATTACATCAGACAAACAGACGCCCTCTTCATCTTTGCCTGCGTAAACATCAATAAGCGGTCAAACGCCATGACATATTTATTTATTTAAGTACATAAACATTGAAACAAGGAGGCAACAAATACATATGCGCCGCGTAAGGCATTTGATTTGTGTGAGGGCTGGGATGCTGCCCGGGTGCCCCAACCGAAGCAAACCTGACATGTCCTCGCTTGTATTAATGCTTGTGGACGCATTCGACTGCGTAATGTTGAGATCTTGGATAGAGGCAATTCTAAAAAACACTAGATAATTTTTAGAAGCTTGATCGCACAAATCAAGATCGACGTCTGCAGGAAAAGCTGTGAACCATATGTGAAGAAATTCGAACACTTCACTTCTACCTGAAGTTTGTTCTGATGATGTCGTTCAGAATAACAATGAAAGCTCCAAAACTAAACCATCCAGCTGCAGAGAACAAAACTCCATCAAAATCATCCATCTGAGCTACATGTCTTCTCCTCGGTTATTATGTATCAGAATTCACGTCTGGCTGAATTTGTCCAAGTAACTTCTCTAGATTCCATCAACAGTGTATATACTTAAGGATTCAGTACAGTACATCATATTGATTCGTTCATACGTCTTATTTTATATAGCTAGGTCCTTATCTGAATGCATCAGTAAACAAATAGTACTATGCTTAGAAAGTCGTTAATCGGAAACCTCTTTTATTCCATTCAGAACCATTGAAAACACTCTGAATAAGCTTCTAAGTTTATGTGATGGTGTTTAGTTATTAAAGTATTTACTACTCTGTGGTTCGGCTTTACAATTTCATGGCGCTGTGCTGATGAAGTATGGTAACTTGAACGGATGTATACACGTATTAGGTTTTGTTTAGTGTTTGACTGATTGATTGGCATGTAGTGGGTAAACTGGATTTACTTAGCAAACGTGAACTACTGGATAGTGTCATTTACCACCACACAGGAAATAGCTCACACATTCTCCAGGTTGTTATTATGAGCTAAAATTGATTACGACCGTTAACTGCTGACTGTCATATAAATCATTTTTACGTCCGTTCATTCATGACGTCATAAGTTGGACTGCACTAGTGAAAGTCAACGGCAGTCTATCTTTTTAGACCAAAACAGTACGTCGAGTTAAACAGCCATTTCATAATTAGATTAATAAGTCTCATATCGACACTAAATATTTGACTGTTTTTAAGCCCAAACTATTCCTTGTCTGGCCGATTGCCTTTTTACTTACGGTTTTGCCATTCTGTTTTAGAAAATGAACGAATTTTCGGTTTTATATGACGATGTTTGTCAACGTGTTTCACGATCTCTTATGGAAGCACTAAAACCGTTTGACGGTATCGATACAGTTGCTACTCATGGTGGATATAATCCAGTGTATTTAGAGGAAGTGGGGCGTCCTGTTGTCCCGCCAATAACTTTGTCGTCTACTTTCCAACAACTTTCTCCTGGTGTTGCAAAAGTAATAAGATTTTGTTTCGTATATACTTTTTTAAGTATGACTATTCTAGGTCTGGAAATTTCTCTAGGGAGTGTTTGGAAAAGTGCATAGCATCTCTGGAAGACGGTCATGACTGCTGTGTCTTTAGTTCTGGTCTTGCAGCCCTAGGAACTCTCATTCAGGTCTTATCAAGTGATGACCACATCGTTGCGTTCGATGATCTATACGGAGGTTTGTAATTTTAACACTTTGATTCTCACTGACGTGTCTTAGAAGGCAAAAATAAATTATCTTTTATATAGTTAGACAGTTCATACTTACACTGTTACCTCTGTGAAATGTTGGCTACTTTAGATCACTGAATGAAAGTTCGTTTACTAATTTGCTTAATTGCAATGACGTGTGAGACAATTGAAGTTTTCCAAGTTAAGGGTAAATGCAGAATAAACTGGTGGATTCTGTATTAGAAACGCTTAGCACATCTTTATGGTGAACTATGTAACTTAATAACCTTACGCTGGCTCGTTTTAACTACAGAAGCGAATTCCTAAGCAAATATAAGAAAGTCTAATTAACCGCTTGCTTCATTAGTTTCAAACCAATACATACTAGCCAAAACTGTGGTTTATGAGTTCGATAGCTTTAGATCTCAAACGTTAGTGTCCAAACTGTTCAGTTCCTTTAGTACGATTTGTCAACATTTGTTTCCCCATTTATTGCTGTCTTGAAATTAAAACCACCGGTTTTAAATCTCCTTATTCTAACACGGAAATATTAAAGCAATGTCAAAAGATTTTGTTCTTTGTGCGATTAAGTTTTTTTGTTGATATGAGGAGATAATGGTTAATAAGTATCGACTTACTGAAAACACTGACTGATATCTACATTAAATCATGCATCAATACTTGATCCATGCTAATACCCGAGTAAGCTAGAATTTTGTTTACCTACTGACTTATTTTATTAGGTCTTCAGCCTAGTTTGTTTCATAATAATCTATCATTTCCAACTCAATAATTAATTTACATTCATTTTGTAGTGTTCTTTTTATTTGAACAGGAAATGGGCGATATCTGCGTCGACTTGCTTCGAAATCTGGAATAACAACTACTTTCGTTGACATGCGTGACTTAAAATTGTTTCAACAGGCGTTACAGACAAACACTCGTTTAGTCCTTATAGAATCTCCATCAAATCCTTTAATGCGTCTGGTCGATATAAGTGCTGTTGCATCTATCGCTCATGCGTTTAACAAAGAAATTATTGTTGTTGTTGACAATACTTTCATGAGTTCTTATTTTCAAGTAAGCAAAATTATTTCACTGATCATATTATCGAGATAATCCTAAATATATGTCCCCAAACTATTTCTTTGTACAAATTTTAAGCCTTAGTTTTTTGAAAATTTTATAAGACAATAGGTTTGTGTCCATATAAAACGAGGGTTCACTCCTCTCTAGTAGTCAAATTCGTCTAGACCCAAGATTCCTACACTTTTGCAGGGCACTGCATTCAGTCTGCTGAAGTATTTCATTGATAATTAATGTTTAGATATTTCTCGGGCTATAATTCACGCTGTAAAATAGTATTAATCGCTGAATTTTTTTCCAACTTTTTCTATTATTATACCTGAAGAAATCTCTGCATGAATTCAAAAATATTAACTACCCTTTTCTAGCTTATGTCTCTCGTGGTATAGGTGAATTGTTCATCCTCACACAAAGTTGCAAGTTGGTTGCTCAGAAGTTCTCTTTGTATTGCTGTATGAATTTGAAACATGAGTCGTAAAAATAGAGTATATTAGTAGAATACTAGTATGTGGTCATATTTATTATCGATCTCAACTATTGAAATCACCACAATATCCACAAAACCCCTTCTGATACTAATCAACATATGCTCACTAATGACTAGCTTCAAGATGTATATCCTGGAATTCTAGTGAGAAGCAGTAGCCACTGGAGTTCAGCCGGGTCAGTTGTGAGTTAGGAACTCACTGATGACAATGGTGGATGTGTCTCTCAATTTCGTGGATTAGTTGAAGTTAGACATTAACATCGTTGAATGCCGGCTCAATGGTCTAATGGTTAAGCGCTCGCACGCGAGGCTGATAGGTGCTGGGTTCGAATCTCGCTGGGTGGGATCGTGGATGTGCACTGAGGAGTCCTACAGTAGGAAGAAACGGCCATCCAGTGCTTCCAGGTTTTCCATGGTGGTGTAGCTTCAATTGACTCATGATCTCAACTACTGAAATTATTGCTCGTATATTGTGGAACTGACTGAAAAATGCTGGGGTTGTGCGGAGGGTACTGGGTGAAGATGACGAATTGGTTGATGAGGCCACGATTGTTAATCGATCAAGGTGGTTGGGATGTATGTTACGTATGCCTAACCACCACCCATTTTTACGCGTTGTTTATCAATGTAGGAGCACATTGGAAGGAAGCTAGGGACATATCCTAAGTTTATAAAGCCATTAACTGTTGATTCCAGCAATATTACTGAATATAGAATATCTGATCGCGTTCCTCACACCAGTTTTAGCCAATGAATGGAGACAAAAATAAAGAGAATTAAGCTAAGAACATTTTCTTTTCGACGAAATTGTTTACTTAAGCTATACATTCGTATTTATAGTTGTATGGTATATATGTCTACACAAGGATAGGAAGGATTGCATTATAAATTGATTCGGGATTCTTAATATCGAGTGACGTTACGCAATAATCAAGGGGTAAGAGAAGAATAATTTACGGGTCAGAATTATACAAGATAATTGTCCACTTTACAGATATGGCGAACAACGAAATACATAAGGGTCATAATAATAAAAACTGAATAATAATCATAAAAAATTGTTTAAGGATTACGGTTTAAAATTACAAAATACTAATTTAAAAAATTACAAAAAAACCAAAACATACTACAAAACGGGAATTAGGGCCAAGGAAGAATGAGAGGTTGGACGTATCGATTTCGCACGCAGAGTTCGGGCTTGCTTTGGTGGATTACCAACGCCTCATCAGTGCATAAGTTTTTTATTTGACCTCGCCTCGATCCAATTCTTTTTCGCTTAATTCTCTTTATTTTTATTCATTGACATAATGCCTTATTAAAATAACGCATTGGGTGACATGATTCAGGACAATTCGTCATAGTGTTTTCGAACTGTATTCACAATGTTTAATTGATTTTCTTTTGGTTTCATTTACTATTCATTTTTTTATTGCATTGAGACTAAGTAGCAGAATTCTTGTGAAGTTAATATTCAAAAGAGGCGACACTCATGCTAAATATCTAAAACCAGAATTTCAACGTTGTGTGATTACTTAGATATGATTTTGGGCAAATAATTATTACTTAATGTCATACAATGAATGATACAGTTTTACACATTGTTTTATAATGTAAATATCGGACATGGATACGTCTTATGATTGGGATATCTAATTTTTGCAAATTATGTATCATAAATAAAATAATATATTTGTAATATCCCAATGATACCTACAAAATTATATATCAGTTTTTTCCTGTTTCTGACTTCACTTCGGTCAAATGGGAGGTACTATTAAATGACATTTTATTGGAGTACAAGGTTGTAGAATCCAAACGAGTAGAAGACTGTAAAATTTCCATGAAACACTGTTGTTCTCCGAATTTTATTAAGCGATGTACACTTTCAATTTATGATGAAGTGTCTAATTTACTTTGCCACTACATTCACTCATTAATTCTTTATGGGAATGTAACCACAAAAGACGATGAACTTTTGACGATGTTAAATAATAAATTGCTGGATCCTTAGTGATTGTTTGTAGGGAATTATTCATAAAATCAGTATGAATGTTTCCCTTGTATATTGGAAATTGTTGTAAATTGAAACTTGTCGTAATAGCACACTCTTTATCGTAATTAAATCACAAAAATAGTCCGTGTCATGACTATGGGACTGTCAGCCTCGTAGATTATTGTTTATTTGAACTTAAAACTATTCATAAGGCACATCATATTTGGTAATACTCCGATAATTTGGGGTATATATATAACAAAATATTCGTATAGTTTTAAATCAGTGTTAATAAACTGAAAACATATTTCCGTTTTCAGAGGTTTTGTATATCAACCTTAAACTGAACGTGCACTTTTAAGTAATCACTGAAAATATTTTGATTTCTCGCATGATTATATAACAACAATGAAAATATAAATATAGTTTCGAGTATTATTATCATTATTTGAACACATAAATATTGGTACAAGGAGACACCAAATACATATGCGCCACACAAATCGAATGAGATTTGTGTGGAGGCTGTGATAATGTCCGGGTGCCAAAACCGAAGCAGGAGGTTTTTTTAGGGGGCCACACCTCCAGCCTTCAACCTAAAGGTCTGATCCATAAGGCAGTGGATTATCGTAAGGAGATGCAGTCCCATGGTAGCCGGTGACCAACGATTGGTTCATACACCATTTGTTCCCTCAGGATACTCGAGCCCATGTGCCCATTTGTTTGGAATCAGGGTTTTTCAACTCCCTTAGGTGGACTCTCCGTGTTCACCAACCCGGTTAAAGCGCCGGATATTCGCTCTTCGTCCTCTCAATTTCGTAAACAACACCCATGGTGCGAGAAGGCAGTGAGTAGGACCTCCTTGGCAGTGGCTATATACGCGTGGCCAAGTGAGAGCATTTCGAGAGGGTGAGCGGACTCTCCCCATTCTCGGCCAGAACTCCCAGTTCCACGAAATCCCGCACTCTAGCCTCGAAGTAACTAGATTACAGGCACACGCCACCATTGTATGTTTGGAAATTATAGTTTTAGTCATGATAAAGTAAATAAACACAAATATGATTAACATACAAGTGTAAATATGGTAGTTATTTGTTTAAATTATAATTACTGAGCAACAGTGAAGCTTAATGTAATTAATAAAATTCTCAATCATCTTAACAAAGCTTTTTTGGAAAGCATGTTTTTTGTCATAACGCATGTTACACTCCAAAACTTTACGAATTAGCATCCTACTCGTTAAACAAGTTGGTAGCTATCTAACCTCAGTAGCTTAGTGAATAATCAGTCGTGGTTTAAAGCTGTGATTGACGATTCGTAGTGTGGATATGAACACTAGAATCCCAGGACATCCAGTTGATTAATCCCAAATAGAAAGAAATATGTGTTTTAGGTCCTACTGCACACTTCTACTATACGAATACATGAATAGGTAATATAAGCGTTACACCTTAACCACAAACAACCGATTTTCCACTGTTTGATTACTTTTTTAAGATAAACTAGCCAATTATTTAGACTATTTACTTTTTCTTCAGCGTCCACTTGATCATGGAGCAAATGTTGTCTTACACTCTCTCACAAAGTATATGAATGGTAAGCTCTTTTTTTCATTACAACAAACAGGTAAAATAATTTATATTTACCTTGCATAATGTCTTCAGTGGTTAAGTGTTGCATAAAATCTCTAAGTAGGCAGAACTTTTCATAATTTTGGGGATTTGTTTGACTTCATAAAACCGTCTTCTTATGATGATTACTTAGTGCCCATTTATTTATTTAAAACGGTGTGCGTCGTTGTCAACTACCACTAATATAAAGAACGCATTGCTGTCTGATGGTAACGGTTATTTTGTTGGTGCTTGTTGTACAAGTGAATACTGTTCTATCCTCATATTGAGAGAAATATTTGAGATTTCCATCGACAGTCTAAACTTAACAGTGTAGAATACTAAGTTTAACTGACTATCCGACTCTACTATATACTGTAGTTAATTGTTACTCTTGTCGTTTGGAGTTGATTTTGTTTCGTAATGTAATGAAGATTCTGTTTGGCTTATTACTATGTAAAGTCCAGTGTAAAAATGCACGGATGTGCACATATGAAGTTCGTATATATAATAAGTAGTAGAAAATTAGTTTGAAATTTGCAAAAGAACATATCCATATAACCACATAGTATTCGTTAAAAACATTTTCTTTTTCTGTGATAAGGTCATTCTGATGTAGTTATGGGCGCACTGGTTACACGTAATCAATCAGAACTACACAAGCAGCTAAGATTCATACAGTATGCTGCAGGAGCTGTTCCATCTCCATTTGACTGTATGTTATGTCTTAGAGGATTACGCACATTACCAATACGAATGAAAGCGCACATGAGAAGTGGACTTATAGTGGCTATGATGCTTGAGAAACATCCGCTTGTTGAAAGGGTCCTACATCCAGGTATGTTACTCTAAATGTTTCTTGTATAATAAGACTTCAGACGCGATTGTATCGATAGAGGCTAACATTTACAAATAATGGCGAAATTGATACCAATCAATCGCTTATTCGTTAGATAATAATATTCCCCAAATAAAATCCTAATGAAGATGAAAGGTGAATTTATTATTAAATATGACCTTTATGAACATCTATGCCAAGAGTATACGGACTCCCAAAATTTCATAAGAAGAATGTTCCCCTACTTCTTATACTTGATATGAATAGCTCTCCATATAATCTGATTGCTAAATGGTTAGCTGATATTTTAAAACCCCTCAGAAATCACAACAATAAATTTAACCCTCTTGATTCACTTGATTTTGTTGACTCAATTAGAAATATCTGTGTAAATGGTAGAAAAATGGTCTCATTGGATGTCACTTCTCTCTTTACAAGTGTTCCACTCACGAAAACTACTTGTTTTTTATGTGAATATATTAAAAATAATAACCTTGATATTTGCATCCCAAAACATTGTCTAAAAGAACTACTTCTACGATGTATTCTCAACGTGCGATTCAGATTTAATTATGGGAATCAAGAGAGGAACTGACACAGCTTTAGATCACCTGGTTGTGGCCAAGATGAAACTGAAGCTAAAGAAGCATTGGACAACTGGGGGAACAGCATTCCTTCGAGATACTGATAAACTCAACGAATTCAAGTTAACTCTCAACAACAGGTTCCAAGACTTACAGGAACTACTGAAGGAGGAAGAAACTACGATGGAGGACAACTAAGAAGGGATCAAAGGAGCACCATCATAAGGAATGTACCTCTATCGAAACGCTGCATTAGATTCGAGAAAAGAGGCACAAGAAGACAGCAATCAACAACAGTCGAACAAGAACAGAAAATGTCAAGGCACAAGCTGAATACATAGAATTAAACAAGCTAGTGGAGAAGAACATTAGAGCTGACAAGTAGAAATATGTGGGAGACCCAGCAACGAAAGCGGAGAAAGCTGCAATAGAATGAAATCTGAGACAACTATATGACATGATAAAGAAATTGGCAGGGAAATATAGTGAACCAGAGAGACCGATCAAAGACAAAGAAGGCAAAGCATTCACTGAAATTCAAGGATAGCGGATGGGTGGAACAATTTCAGGAACTCCTGAATAGACCAGCTCTATTGAATCCATCGGATATGGAAGCAGCGCATACAGATCTTTCTATAGCTGTCGCCCCACCAACGATCGAGGAAATCAGGATATGAACAAGTGTGAGAGCTACAGAGGCATCACACCACTGTCAGTACCAGAAAAGGTTTTCAAGGGAGTGTTGCTGAACCAGTTGAAAGACTCAGTAGACGCTCAGCTTCGAGATCAACAGGCTGGATTCCTTAAGGATTGATTGTACACAGACCACATTGCGACACTACGGATCATCGTTGAGCAATCAAGTGAATGGAACTCGTCAGTATACATCAACTTCCTTGACTATGAATATATATATATATATATATATATATATATATATATATATATATATATATATATAACTATTGATAATCTTTGTTATTCTAATTGTTCCGTCATCTATGTCATTAGCTTCACTTTATGTCATACCTAAATGTCACAGGTTAATAAATATATGATTGTAAGTAGATGATGAGAAGCCACGAAATGTAATGAGTTCATATTATTCTGCCTCAACTGTTGTTTTGGCTATGTTCGCGTTCCCAAAGGAACCAACTGCATGAAGTTTATGAAAGTCAGGTCAGTCAGCCACAACGTAGGACCAGGCACATATATGCATAGGTCCAAGTTGCCATAGCTCATTAGCACAACAAGATGAACACCGGATTCATAGAAGTAGTTAATTCAATTATATTAATATATAAAAGGAGGATTGCATATAAGGAGATAGTACAGGAAGAAAGAATTAGTACGTAGAAAGATATGAAGCGATTTTAATCTCATAGTTTAAGGGAAGACAGAGAGTGTATACACCTACACCAATGTGATCGATTCTGAGCTGTCACCAAGAGTCTCCAAGCATTGGTTACGATAGTCACGCGGACCCCAATCAGGTAGTCTGCATCTGCCAACATGACTCAGACCAGAAGTTAGTGACTTCAAGCACTGATGAAAGTAATTACGAGTGGTTAATAAAGAAGTGGATAAGATTATTAATATCAGATGTTAATTAGCAAACTGATGATAACAAGTCTATCATAATATTTAGTACGACAGTTGAAAAAAATACTTAAGCATAAAAATACTGCTTCAGTTAAATAACAAAAAAGCGTATAGACATTTTGAAGAAAAGACATTGGCATAAAGGAGAATATAATAGCGTTAGCTGTTTCGATTGAAAAGGTAAGAAGAGCGTTTGTATAATTTTCTTACAAACACAGAAGACCGGCATATTACGATGAATACTGATAGCTTCAGTTATTTTTTAAAACACATATGCGCAAGCCATATGGTGAATTCAGTGCATGATTTCAAAGGCTTTGTTCAGAACAAGGGTGGTACGAAGCCCCAAAAAAGACACTGTTTGAAAGGAAATATTTCTTCGCGTGCTCCGTCGTTTTTTTTCTAAATATCTAAACAAGAATTCTCGCATCACTAAAACCATTTAATCATATGAAAAATTAATAATTGATTCATGTGCCACAATCGTAAATATATTTTTAAAGAATAAAATCATTAACGTTAACGGGTTGTTTACGGTACATATATTTATTTCAAGTAAGCGCTGTCAATTTCTGTTTATGCTCTCCGTTTACTAACACTGGTCATTAGTTTATATGTCAAGGTTATTTGTATTATTCCGAGTGTTAATTCATATACTAATTAATTAGCGCATAATGTACTTACGAATTATTTTTATCACTGCTGCAGTTGGAAAAATGAAAATAGATATAGTACGCTGTATATTTCCTACAAATTACTTCTATCCGTTCAAGATGTATGGTTAGGTCAAGATTTTTAGAATCTAAATCGGTTGTTCCTTTAACCTTTTATACCTGATTGTAAACATAAGTTGATATTTGCTAGTTTTTGCATTCGGTCTTTTTTGTTTTCAACATTTTTTTCTGATATTCAAGGTTTAGAGTCATTTCCTCAGAGAGATATTATCGCGAAGCAGATGCGTGGTTTTAGTGGTATGATAACTGTTTATCTGCGATGTACTGGGGAACAAACAAAAACGTTTATTACAAATCTGAAGGTAATTGCGTTACTGTATATGGATGATATAAATGTTCTAAAAGAGTAATGACCTCGATAGTGAGAGTCAATACAGGCGATTAAGTGGATAAAATTCATTTTTTCAAATATGTATGTGATGATTAGAAGTATTTGAATTATTATACGTATTAGGAATCCCCAAAATAGCTCAATTTATACCAAACAGAACTTTGTGAACAAAAACGAATGTATTATATTTGAAATTGAAAACCAGGCAGTCATCAAGTACAAAACAATCATTAGTTAATACAAACACAACAACCGCCACCTCTTAGATTGGAATCTAAGTTTCTGCGATCAATTTTACCTTTTCTCGTTGGGTTCATCATGTGTCTGTCCGACCATGTATTGGATGTAGACTATGTACGATCTAGAATATACTCATCAGTATTAGAATTAACCACTCCAAGTGGAACGTACTCACTTGGAATTGTATACAATCAACATGTCGGTTGTGTACTGAAACCACTGATATCCAGAATTTGAACCATAGACGTCCCAACACTAAGCTCCCCCACGAAATAATGTTCATAGCCCCAAGCTATGAATAATGTGGCTTCATTTGAAACATATTTCTCACACTGATTAGAGGATTCATTAGAAGTGGATTCATGATAAGCATAAACAACATTTGGTCTGAAGTCACACGAATTGTAATCAAAATCGAGCTGACTTAGTACTTGTGCTTTGCAGTGAACAAGTTTACCACAAGAGACAGATGCACTATGAGGACAAATAACATTTGATATGACATCAGGATTTAATTTTTCCGAAATATTTTCCTCAAATTTATTAAGAATTACATTGGAGAATAATGGATCACTAGAAAAATCAGCATCTGTCAAAACTGCACTACATTTTCTATCATGATTTGATTCATTCAGCATATTTTCCTCAGATTTATAAAAAATTTCATCAGAAATATGTGAATCATTAAGACAAACTGTGGTGTGCGCTACTTATATACACATAAGTAGTATATAACCATAACCATAGTCAGAAATAGAATGTATTTCAGTAGAGGATCGAGAAGGAAAGAACGGGAACAGAAAGTAATCGGTATGAAAATGCAGGAACAATGAAATCTGAGATGATAGACTGATATTTACAAAAGAAACAGTCAATTTTGAGACAATCGATTAGTATTTTGCAAATTAAGTATTTACTGTATGGTTCTCAGATTTTAGTGAGATGTTCTGTAATTTCTTGTTCAAATACATTCGGTCGTCCCCACTCGTGTTCTTTGTTCACTACAAAACAATATATGATACAATAACATGAGAAATCTAATAAGTCGATTGACTGGAAGTTTTTGTCTCATAATGATTCTGATTTTTATTTGATTCTGGACTGCTATAAGACGATACTGTTTTTCGAAATCGTAGAAAAAGACAAATGATCGTTGGAAGCACTCAACTTAATAAGATTTGAATTACAACGTTTAGCATTACTTGCAACAGAATGAACAGTAGTATTACAAACTGGCTGAATGTATCCAATTTTACCATATTTAAAGCATTTAGCATTACGAAATGCACATAAATTACCTGCGAAATTTGTCACAGGACAAACATTTACCAAACCCGAACAATAAGAACTGGTAATACTGCCAGTTAAAAGCCCAGAAAACTAAATAGAAAATAATAAGCAAAATTAAATATAAAAATGAAATAAATGTACTTCACATAATTGCAAAAATTTTAAGGTTTGGTGGTTTCCGTCTGTAACTTCTTTTTAACTCCCATTCAAGAAACTTTAATCCTAAACTAGATTCAGACTGAATTAGTGAATATTTCATAGATCGATGTTACACTCTAGTCCACCACGCTATAACTTTTTGAGTGATATATACTCTCATTTCTAGGTCTTAAGGAAATAGTTTAATTTAAGTGATATTGTTTAGATATTTGAAGGCTATAAAGTTTTAATATTCGACTTAATTTCTTGACACAAATTTTTCCAGTTGATTAGCACTTATAATCCTAACTTTTTGTTTGAAAGTTGAGATTGATCTGAGTTTACTGATGCGAACTTTTTATTGGAGTCTTCGAAGTAAATGTAAACTATGGTTGGAGATCTTAGATGTTTTGGCTCAAAGTCAGTCGCTGTGGCATAGATTCGTTGACCCATTCATCCTAAATCCTAAGTTTTACCAGTCATAATTTTTCCCCCTTCGTTTTTTTCAAGGTGTACCCTTCTCACTATTACCACCATCTCTTCAACTCGTCGCTCATGTAGTTGATTTCCTCCCATTACTAGTTAATGTAACTACGGCTTCCACACTTCTGTGCCAGGTTCTATTTTATCTGTGACTTGATGATTTCGAAGAGAGGTTAACAGAGATTTGAGCAGAGTTACTTATATTCACATGATATCTATTTGAAACTTATAACGTTTAAAAACCAAAATTATGAAACGAATTGAAAATCAATACACAAAAGAACTTGGTTGGGAGTTCTTGTGACTGCACATCAACATACTATAGCAGAGACATAAATATATTTGAGACTGAATGAAAATTTTGTAAATATATATCATACGTGACAAAATATTGTACAACAGTTATAGTAACACACGATCGAAAGGCTAGATATGAGTGTTCACGTAAGTAATGAGCAAACGCAAATAATAAAAAGTGTAGTGCTCACTGAGTTAAGAAATAATATCAAAACAAGTGAAGAGTTACAAAAATGAACAAAACGATATATTCATTTAGGAATATTAAACTATATCGAAACCATACTAAGCGAAATAATTATCTGAAATTTCCTGTGCATATACTTGTATTTTTCAGTTGTTTACGTTAGCCGAAAGTTTAGGGGGTTATGAGAGCCTTATTGAAATTCCGTAAGTTCTTTGTTGAATCTTTTAAAATTTATGCTTGTGTTCAGTTTGTGCACACTTATAAATAAGTGTTAAATGAAGGTGTCATATCAAAACCATTATTCCCTATTGCAAATAATTTTTTTGCTCGTACGCCATTTGTTCCCTTAAGATCCTAAAGCCTATATGCACCACTGGTTTGGAATCAGGATTTTCTGACTTCCATAGGTGTATCCTCCATAATCGCTGACCCAGTTAAACCGCCTGACATTCGTTTTTCGTTCTCGCGTAAACAACACCCGAGCCGCGAGTAGACTGTGAGTATTAATTCCCTAGCACTGGCTGTGAACGCGTAGCCATGTGACAAAATTTCGAAAGGAAGAACTAACTCTCCCCAACCACGGCTGTACCAGGGAAATTGAAGGCCTAACGATGCACCAGCTACTGAAAATGGAGGCCCGTGACATAAACCTCAAGTATGATCCAGAAAATTCTTAGTTGTTGCTCGGATATCTGAGAATTTAACTGCTGATAAATTAGAACTAATTAAATATTGAGAAGTGGAACAGTATAAGTTATTGGTGTGAATTGTTTGGTTCACTTCGATTTGGTTTGGAGAAGTAACGCTAATGACTGTGGTATCAATGACTTATTACAAAGCAAACAATTCACTGGTAACGAGCCACTTCAACAAAGCACGTAGCTTTATTTCCACGGCACTATCATTATGCACTACAAAGTTGTTTTACAGACTGTTTTCCAATTGACATGTTATTCCCTGCTGTTAGTTCATAATTTTGCACTTTTCTTTAAACAAAACTCTAATCTATTGTATTTGGCTATATTCTGAAAATAAATGTTAACCAATCAATACCCAAACCAACGTTTATCAAAAATAAACATTGAAGCCACTCAAAACTAAGTTTTGTTCGTTCAGAATGTCATTCCATCGTTTTTTTAAATTTATGACGATTGAATGCTAGCACCGACCATTCGGTAAGCTGCAATAAAGCTAATAACGTTATCCACTCACAGCATAGTAACAAACAATTCGAAATCCTGTACACATAGCCCAACAGCGCGGAAGCATTAAGCGTGAATGACGAGGGTATGTTGGTTCTAAATATCGTTTTTAATAAGATATTCAGTGTTTATTGGTTCTGTTCGTAGAACAGAGCGTGATAACAAGTGGCAATTTGCTAACTTCGATGGGCCATCGGTGATTTAAGACCCACATTATACTTTGTAGTATCGTTATGTTAACTTACATATTTCCCGACTAACAATTTTTACCTTGACTTGATGGTTATACTCATCTATTATCGTAATCTAATCTGATCAATCCAACTGGTATTTGTTCTGTGACTTTACTACTTACGGAAATTTTCAGTAGGGTGGAACCCTAAAGTAGATAACATTTATAATACATTTAGTTTTTACCTTCTTGAGACGTGCTGCGGGAAAATAATTGTAAAGTATTGTGTGCAGAACAAGGTATCTTCCTCGGTTCACTAGCGTTTCTAAAGGCGCTGTCTTCTCATGATCGGAACAAGTCAACTCAGAAAAATGTAAATCAGTCCTTGCCGTGATCTTCTTTCGTAAATAGTAATGTCTCCATGAGTGAATATACTCTACTAAACTCCACGACTTCAAAAATATTCAGCCACTGCCTCGGCTACACCCTAACATGAATTTACATTCTGGCTGTAATCTAAACTCCTATGCTCCAGTAATAAATTTAAAAACTTTCATTATGGTGAAAAAAAAACCTTACTTACTGACAAACATACATTTCGGGAAAGGCAGAACAGCAAAATATATAAACGGTAACATAAAGGCAATGCTTGCGATTGTAACAAGACGTGTTTTCGCATTTTCAGGTCCATTATGACACACGCATCAGTTCCAAATGAAGTTCGTGAGGCCAACGGGATCACTGATAATATGCTTCGCTTGTCAGTGGGACTAGAAGATCCGAAGGACCTATCACTCGACTTATATGAAGCATTTAACAAATTGAACCAAAATCTCAAACCAAAATAAGCTTATCCTATTTAACTATTGACCGACGTTTCTGCAAATAAATACACATGATAAATACTTTGAAACTTTTATGATTACTCACTTAATACGTACACAAATATCGGGCTAAGACTGATTGCAGTCAATACTACTGATAAACAATCTAGTTATAGTAATCACATGCTCACGTACGAAAATTCAAAACACCTCTAGACAATACACGTATTATATGAATACTGTATGCTAATAGACCAAATGCTATCTGTAATTTTGTAATCATGCTGCGCAGCCCTTGGTTAGCTGGCATTCATCTAACAAGCAGCATTCTTACTGAGTTATATCAGTGACCAACTTCATGGTTAATTAGGCCACACTTATATCTCATTTTCCCGCTAGTGTCAGATTGGCTTTTCGTGAGCACGAACACGAGTGAATGGCCAGAGGTGTTCACCCAAGTTTCCCAAACAATCCAAAATAAAACCTAGGCACAATGGGCACTGAGGTGTACCATCTCTTGGACTACAAAAATTGTGTGGCAATAGACCGATGGATATGAGCTCTCTGATTTTTCGCACTACTACCCGCGTCATAAAACAACAACCTCCCAACGTTTTCAACCATTGCCAGTGTCGGGGACCAACGGGTGATATGTAAGTCTTCGAGGCTAATGACCAATGTGGTGATACCAATTAATTATTCGTCACTGTGCCCAAACACATTGTCGAACCTCGGCATTTCTTACACGGTGTTATAACTAAATTTCGAAACTTTCGCAGACAACGATGCCTGAACATGGAGAGCTGCTCAGCATCCTTCACTCCCGATGCGTTGTACACTCGACCTTCTACAGCCAGACTAATACCATGACAGCATCAAAGATGATCAAGATTGTGATGACGCACTGGTTCTGTTAATACGTAGGTCGTTTGCACTACCCTTTTCACCATTGGGAATCACACAACTGCCCGAACAAATGAACCTTCCAACCACTTTTGGAGGTTTACAACTAAGAGGGGGTGCAAACAGACTTATAAGAGCAATTTACACGCCATACCCACTGCTATTCATTGACAACTGATCTCAAAGCTTATCATTTGACCGTGAGATAATATCATAGGCGCACTCAAGATCAGTCTACGTCCAGGTGGTAAAACCACACTACCGACCCCCACCAAAGCTATGCAGTTATGGACTGTTGAAATACCTCTTTATCGCGTTGTCGAGCGTAAAGTTCGCCAGACACCCCTATGAACTAGTAGCAAGGACTAAAGACCCCACAACTCTCTAGGGCTGACGTAGGGATTAACAGTACCCATGATACAACTAACTGATATAACAAGGACTTCCCAAACAGCTCAACATGGCACGGGGCGCTATACGGAACTAGTACCGGTCGAAACATTTCTTCAACTGATGCTGAGCGCTCTCCACCCGGTTCGAGCAGCGCTCGGAACCGGCCACATGGGCTGGAAATAAAGAAAATGCCTGAAGTGAGTACAATCAGACGGTCTGCTTCGGCGCGTGCATCTTCCTACCAAAGCACAAGAACTGATCACCCACCCCCGTCCTACTGTAAGCTGCATACGAGGCCCCTAAGTCATCGACACCAACCGTGCCTGACTGACCAGCCTTGGCAGTTACACCACAGGGAAATCACTGTTGTGTAACGAATGACCCTACCCACCATGTCATTCAATAGTTCTTCACACAGGCTAGCTGACGCAATATTCATGGTGCTTACTGTAACACCATACCCAACTGCGCAAAAAATGAAGCCCAGTTGGATCGAAATATTCGCACTTCAAGGCTTTCTACTTGAGTGACAATTACAGACAAGACGGAGGAGAAAACACATATCTCAAGCAAACGTTTTTATTTGACTGCAAATCTGACAAATTTTAGTTATTGCAAATCCAATGGCACAAATCGATTACATTGACCACGTTATTGGAAAAATATGGAGCTGTCACGTAGTTTACCAGGTCAGCTACCCGCCGACCAACGAGATACGCATTACTTTAGCATTCAAGCGACCGCTGGTAGTACAACAAGCGGAGATACAGAATGCACTCAACTAACTATCCTAACTTACCAGTTGACGAGGGACCTGAAAATGAAAAGAAGTAGCGCTTTAGAAATGGTAGAACAACAATCAGTCCTGTTGAGCAAGATAATCACTTATCAATTATAAACATTTCATCACCTGAATTTAGCAACTCACCACTTGAATAAGGAGACCTGTTTTTATGACATCTTCCGTACGGTCTGAAATGCAAAAAATAGACACTCATATTTGCATCTTGTTACTAGTGCATAATCAGGCCTATCATTGGAATATCATATTCATTAAGGGCTCAAAATTTCATCACATTACACAACTAGCACTTACCAAACTCAAGGAATTCACGACTGGCAGTCAAAAACTGAAAGGCATTTCCACAAATCTAGGGCGGTCTAAAATAGGAATAACGACAATATTAGCTGGACACCCTTGTGATATCAGATACTATCTAGTGGCATTCACTGTTTCATCCACATGTTAACATCATAACACTACCATAGACTACCTACCAAAAGCACCACCATGGCGTGACATGCACGAGTGGGTTTGTGCAAATTCATCTTCGTCCGTCAACTGACAAGCTGTACCTCAGCTAAACATTTTCAATGCTCAATGTTTCAGTTTGTTAATTGAATATTACCGAACGCACCGATTCAGGTGGTCAGGCTTAGTAAGTCCGAGAACGTTCTCTCCAAAGTTGCTGGGTACCATTGCTTTTCAAAAACGAGGAAATTCACCATCGACTTTTGTGGCCACACTTGCAATTAACCTTGGTATAGACAAGACTCTAGATAGCCCTTGGCGGTCTATGAAGTTGTGGCCGACATATATTTCAATGGATTTGATTGCACTGGCTAAAACGCTGAAGTCCAAACTACTGAGTTAAGACAGTATAACTCTCCAGAAGTGGTCAGCGTCTTGATTGCTTGGGGTTGTGTTCCGTAACTCAGTCTTGTGAGCAGCGATGGTTAGGTCAGTCAGTAAATAGCCATCAGGGTATATTAGGATCTTTATTTTTATGACTTAAAACGTAGTGGAAGCATATCTCAAACCATCCGGTTATTTCTCGTGAGTAATCGCAAACAGTATTTTTCTCACAGCAGCGTCATAATGAATAAAGAAACTTTTGTTGCAATGCAAAGGCCTCGTCAAAAATGTCCTAGATCATCTTATTATTATAGAATTCGCCTTTCACTATTGGTGAATTAGGAACTGGCTCGCTTACTGCATGAATAGCCAACACATGATTGATATGAGGACAAAAATGCTCCAAACATTGAGAAACCGCAACTGGGTTCCACTTAACACCACATTATAAACCTTGAATCTAAAGATGTTACAGATATTCATGGCTTGACAACACTTTCGTTTTTAACACCCAGTAAAACTAGAAGTCGAGAATTAAGGGGTTCAAAGATATATTTGGGAGTGAATCGATATTTCGAGAAGTATGTGATCTAAGCTGACTAGTTGTCCCGAGGAATATGAAAAAAAGCGAACACACTCGTAATCTGGAGCGAATGCATGGCCGAGAGCGTTCATCTATGCTGTGGCTAGTAAAATTAATGAAGTCAGTATCGATTTTGAAGACTTCGGGAACTTCTGTTACGGACGAATCGCCGTTGTCAACGCGTCCATGATGAAACGTTTGCTGGCCCCCAGAACGCAAGATAATTTCGGTGCAAGCAAAGGTACGATAAGTACTCCAGAAGGAGTAGCATTCTAGTACACAACCACAACTGGTGTTGGCGATCATAATGTGGTCAATCTGATTACGAGTTTGAGTTGCAAAAGCAGGAAATCAAGTCGCGCATCGATGATGACTTTGTGAGAACTTGGCCATGGTGAGAGACAGTCTATGATCAGCACAAACTTGCGGAAGGTGGTCGCTATTGTCTGACTTGTGACCAATAATCCCCGAGGATCACTCAAGAGATCGCTCAGACGCTGATTTGCCACGCTGAAATCTCCGATTAGCACTCCAACATCCCTTCAATACGTCTTTCTGAGATGGTTTAAATGATGTTAAAACCCACTCCTGATTGAATCCATATTCTAGTCTTTCAAAACGTAGGCACAGACTACGAAATAACATCGTTTCGTCTGCCTATTTTCTCTCATAATGACAAAGCCTTTTCATCTAATGGCACATAAACGAACGTTGATGGTGATGCCATCGATAAGTTGTGGCTCTGGTCTAACTTTTAGTGTGAAACCACTTCGGTTCAAACTGGACGCTGACGTTATGTGTTCACCGGATAAAAACGATGTAATGAAACTTTTTGCACTGAATTATGTCGAACGAATACACAGTACTTCACTTATAGTACGGCAAGAAGAATAAAAAGAAAGGAAAATATGAAAGCTATGTTTTCAGTCATCGGTAAGCATAGTACTTAATGTGCAATTACCGAGACGTATTTTATGTGAATTTTTATGCTTTTTTAAACACTTGCATACATAGACCTATTGTCTGTCTTGAACGTTAGGCCGCTAACCAGGGATCTCCAGACGACTCAGTCCACGGTACTTCTTTCCACTAGTCTCCATTTAGTAGTCATGCCTTCAGTGTTTGTTTATAATTATTTGCGCCACATGTTCCTTGACCTGCCTTTTTTCTTTTGCCTCAAAGACTTAAAGTCAAGACTTGCGTTGTTACTCAGTTTAATAGCTTCTGTAAGGTCTGTCTATTCCCCCTCTAGTGTCTTTCCACATCCTTTCCTCAGCTGATGAATAGTTTGTGCTCAATTGCAGTAGATTATTGCTGATGGTTTATAGCCGCATTCCTCGGGACAACTAGTCAGCTTAGATCACATACTTCTCGAAATATCGATTCACTCCCAAATATATCTTTGAACCCCTTAATTCTCGACTTCTAGTTTTACTGGGTGTTAAAAACGAAAGTGTTGTCAAGCCATGAATATCTGTAACATCTTTAGATTCAAGGTTTATAATGTGGTGTTAAGTGGAACCCAGTTGCGGTTTCTCAATGTTTGGAGCATTTTTGTCCTCATATCAATCAT